CCTGTAGGTACGGTCTTTGAGGTATGAGGTGAGGAGGGAAAGAGCAGAGCCTGAAACTCCAAGTTCTTGGAGTGCGAAGGAGGATCTGATGATTCACCGTGTCGAATGCAGCAGACAGGTCCAACAGGATGATGACAGAGGAGAGGGATGCAGTTTTGGCAGTGTGCAGTTCCTCAGTGACAGCAAGGAGGGCAGTTTCTGTGGAGTGACCTGCCTTGAAACCAGACTGGTGCGGATCCAGAAGGTTGTTCTGATGGAGATAACAGGAGAGTTGTTTAAAGACAGCGCGTTCAAGTGTTTTAGACAGGAACGGGAGGAGAGAGACAGGCCTGTAGTTTATAACATCAGACGGGTTGACTAAATTGTAGAAAGCAATAATAATAATAACTTAGATGTATATAGCGCCTTTCAGGGGACCCAATGTCGCTTTTCAGCAAGAAACAGGAGCAAAGCATTCAAACCTTTGTGAGAACATGGAAACTGCTGTACGTATCACTACTTTGTTTTCGCCAATTCACCATTTTAATATTATGTGACAGGCACATTTGATGCATGCACATGTTCTTCAGTCTCTACTGTTTAAAAGACACAACGTTGTTTTCTGTAAAGCCCCTGTCACACTGTCCCGAAATTGACACCCGTTGGACACACGAATATGGAATTGTGAATTTCGCACGAACTGTGCCCCGAACCACACACGAAGGCAACATTTACATTACATTTAAGACATACAACTGCAATGAAAGTACCAAAAACAATTATGTTACAGTACTATGATACTGTACTGATATCTTCAGACTTTGTTCTTTACTTTATCCGTCGTTATATGTAGAAAATATTACGTTTTCTTCGTAATGTTGTTTCCATAACAACAACAACTTCCTGTCAACTGTCCTTTAAAATAATATATTATATCCTTTTTAGTTTCACAGAACACAAATTGGGTTATTTACATAATATATTTACATGATTTTGTTCTGCAATAAAAAAACCCGATGGACACACGATAAAGGAAATGTTCAAATTTGGCTGTGATCGTAGCAACATCGGGCCATTCGTGAGGGCATCTTAAGCCATCGTATGACCGCCGATGGAGTTTCTCAGGCTCCGGCAGCAACTTCGTGAGCGGTGGCAAAATCTTTGGCATGCCAAAAAATTGCCGAAGGACCTTGAGAAGGTTCATTTTCGTGTTGAATTCGTGTGTCAATTTTGCCCTTCGGAAGGCCATCGTGAGGGCATCTTGTTATCATCGGTGCCATCGGGCATTCGCCCCGATCAGAGTGAGGGTGAATGCACCGATGATAACACGAAGATGACACGATTTGACAAGATGCCCTCACGAGTGCCTTACGAAGTTGCCGCTCACGAAGTTGCTGCCGGAGCCTGAGAAACTCCACCGGCGGTCATACGATGGCTTAGATGCCCTCACGAATGGCCTGATGTTGCTACGATCACAGCCGAATTTGAACATTTCCTTTATCGTGTGTCCATCGGGTGTCAATTTCGGGACAGTGTGACAGGGGCTTTACTGGTACCAATAAGAGCTTTCTTTAAATGTGTCACATTTGTTATATTTTCCATCATTATGATAATAACAAAAAGAAGAAGAAATGTGTTTCCTCTTGTGGAAATGCAGGTATGGTTAGAGTTAGGACATTCTGTGCCATTAGATTACAAATTAAAATGTATAGTTTTAGTCCTCATTTTCCAACAAAGGACTAAGAAATTCTACACAAAGTATGGCGGCTATAAGGAATTACATCTTTCATCAGGTTTTGCATTTTTATCAAAAAGCAAATATCAAAATGCATTAATTGTTTTATTCTGCTCTATGGGTGATCAGCCAGAGGCCAGTCAAATAGTTGTGGGTATAAGGCAAAGAGGAAGCCTAACATTGTATGTTGTATGTTTTGTGTGTGTGAGGACCCCAAGAAGAATAGCTAATGCTCATGCTAGTGCTAATGGGGATCCTAGTAAAGAATAAGAACATCAGTAACATTAGTTAACGTGGTACAGAAGTCCTTCCAACGTTATGAGTAACTGCTGACAGGAAGCGCAGCAGAGTCAGACGTGTTCATTAACTGTAACACAGGTTTGATAAGCTTGTACTTTCATTGAGTCAATAATTAGGGTGGAAGCCCAGATCTCAACATTTTAAGTTCTTCCATGCTAATGCTCGATTTAGCAACTCACAAATGTTGTTGTGATTATTCTGCTGAACATAGCCTGATACAACTGAAAGTGGAACATAGAGCTTATTTTACACGAGCAACAAACCCCTCCATCCTTTTCTCAGCGGGTCAAACATGTCATGTGCTTCTTAGGGTTAGAGACAATTAAGTTCATACTCAAAGGCTCCTCTGAAACCCTTATGAGAACATGAATACTGCTGTATGTATCACTACTGTGTGAATCCAAACCCAATGTGCATGCTAAGCATCACTTGCTTTGGTGGAAAAAAACTGGGGATATTAAAAAAAGATATTTACAAAAACTAGAG